ACCTTTTCTGAACACATTCGTGATTTAATTTTGGTAGCAGTTAGTCCAAAAAATGTGTTTTTAAACGTTTTAAAACGGTACCTGTACCATTTTTATCTGCTATTCGCGTAACCTGTCAATTATCGATAACGCTCCGCCCCCTGTTGAGGCATCAATGAGGGAAATCGGTAGTTCCATATATCCGTGAATTACCGGTCCATACTGGTCCATACTACTCGTAATTCATGTATCGTACAAATACCGTTCATCTTTTTAGAATATCGTCTACCTTTTATTTGGCATTTTTTATAAAATAAGAAATTGTCGGCCAATGTACATAACATAATGTATGAAACATAAATAATTAAGCAAAGCAGCAAATCGCACGACCACCGGGTTGATTGAAAATATTATTGCTAAAATATCCATAATGTGTGAAAATAATTTGTCTGTCCCGTTAATCTGATAGATAATACATTGAGTTTATGGACTTTTGTACGGATTCAACGACTGGCTTTACATTCAACCTCGTTTTCTAACAATGTCAAGTAAAACAACAACAAAAACAGACAACATTTTTATGTGAACGCCTTTATGACTTGTGGTAAGGTGTCCCTGACAAATTTCTAAAACATTTTAGATTGTTTAAGGATGATTATTTCTCTATGAATCAATAAAAAAAGATATTAATATATATTATCAGTGAATGCTTTGAATAAATTGTTCGCCAGTTAATCGAACACAGTACTAATTAATAAACCTGGGACAAAGTATGGAATTTATTGTATATCCCAGTAGAAACTGGATCTATATGCCGTGCATAGATGATTTTCATGATAATAGAAGTCAAGAAGGTCAGATCATAATGATCGAGTGATACCTTTTATTTCTATTAAAATATGTGAAGCATTTATATCAATTTGGAGGAAAAAATATAGAATATCCCGTTCTTATTTGTACATCTACCATAGCCTTTAAAATACCGTCAGAAGCTCAGTTTTTTGTTAATTTAATTTATATTTTAACGGAATTTCATACACGAATACACAGACAGAGTGACACTGGTATAATATAATAATAATGCTGATGATAATAATAATAAACTTCAAAAGTGAAACAATTAAATACCCCGCTAGCAGTGCGCAAATACGTTCCACCCCCCCTCCCACCGAGTGCCTCAAATTTTACCGAAAGTCACGTGACATGTGCGACCGATACCAGACGGACAGTAAATCACGTTAAGATTTGAAGAAATTTCTGTTGTAAACTGATATTAATCAGCAACTTTTTAATTGGTCAGATGTCACTGGGTCATAAAATGTTGTTAGAGTATGTTACCGCAACCTGTGACCCTCTCTGGTGCGATATTTGTGTATTATGCAATTATTTAGCGTGAAACGTAGGGGTCCGAGAGAGAACAGCCGATTTATGACACTTCGTTTGATGCGGGTCGGACTAACTTTGAATCGGCATAACTTTTTCAATAATCAAGCAATTAACATGCGGTTTAAAGCACATGAAAGGGAATTCATTTACGGAGGGAACCGTGTCAGGGATTTTTGTTTGCTCAATCAGCGACTTAATTATCTTTAATTACGTAACATGTATGGTGAAAAAAAGTCGCATAAAATGTTTGACGTTACGTAATATTTTTTTGAGAAAAGATAGAAAAAATTTGAGACACGGTTCCCGAGACATTATAAGTATGTTTATTTTCCAAAAGTTTGATAACAAAAAATAAAAAATGACTTTGATATGACGATTTAAAATTTTAGGATTTTTATTAAAAATCAATCATTTACAAAGGCATTTTTTTCAAATTTGTTATTTTTTATGATGATCAGCAACATTTAATGCACAAAGATTAAATAAATAACAATTATTACAAAAAGTTGGTTTAAATGACATTTATGTGAGTACCACGGCAAGTGTCTGTTGTCACCTTAAACAATAACCTTAGTACCTCCAAAACTTCACTATTATAAATATCAAAAATAAATATCCTTACTCAAGCAATCATTATGTACAGAGCAGTGGTTTTTCTCAAGTAGGAAGAGGCAATAGTTTCTCAATTTTGGTAAGAATTACTAATCTGGGAAGTAATAAAGCTCAGATCATTGGCAGAACTGCACGATTTTGAAGAAAATTTCAATTGCTAAGCCTTTGATGTATAAAGTGAAAAATCACTGCAAGACCTGCCTTTGATGTTCATTTCTTGCATGATAAGTATATTTTCTGAATACTGTATTCCTGGAAATGGTACACTATTGTGATAAAAACATATAGGGTTTAGGTTATTTCAAACAAGTAATCAAAATTTACTATTAAAATGTATCCATTTGACAGTCTTTAAAGGGACTCCCCTGAAGTTTTTTTGACATGATGGGACTGAAAATATTTTTTCCATATAAATGTACCATTTTATGTAGGTTAAGATCACTAATCTTTGTGCAAAATTTCAAATCATTCGCGCACTTCGTTTTATTAGAATAATATTTCAAATTTTAAAAAATGGCGTTTAAACGCTTTTCACTCAAATCGGGCAAAGAAAAGCATAAAAATACGATTCTCAATTTATTTTAAAATACATTTCTTAACTATCTTTGAATATATTTCTGTTTAAAGTGCCCAAGATCATTTATGTAAGAAATTCAAATGCTATGTTTTAGGCTTTTAAACCTCAGTGGAGTCCCTTTAATATTTACCTTTTATTAGATAGAATATGGTAAGAAATTCATCTGTGATGATTTTGGCAGTCTTGTCTTGTGTACCTACATATATTTTTGCATGGAATGATTTATACAATGCTTTTGAACCCTTTTTTAAAAGTAATTGTTTTATTTCATTTAAAGCTGAAAAATACCGGAAAACGTCAAAAAAGCTTCGTTTTCGAATTTTAAGCGGAAAAAGGAAAAAAAACATACCTAATCGCTATTTCATGCCATTTAGGCAAATTTGCCAGAGCTAACATCTGGAATATACAGAAAATACAGAAAAATATAAAAAAAAGCTTGGTTTTTCGAATTTGTGAATGATTTTTGTTATGTGTCAGAATCAAGACAGTCTTGTCAATATTTTCAGCCACAAAAACATGAGTGTTCTACAATGCATAAAGAAGTGTTACAATAGTTAAAACACTTTCTTTCCAGGACATGATATGAAATTTGTAATGTATATGTATTTGAAATAAGTTTAAATTTTGGTCTTTGTATTGATTAATGTAGCTAGAAGCCTGCAGATATGAATCTTTGCAGCATTGTTTTTCTCTCTGAACCTAAGAGATAACAAATAGAACTGTAAAGCACTATGAGCTCTACCTTCATCTTCCATACACTGTCCGATAAGATTCAATGCTGTTTCCTTGTGCCCAAGGTTTGGTTCCTTGCCTATAGTGTCGGCAAGATTAGTAAGTGCTTGTCTCCTATTTTCTTGTTGTCCTAGATTACTGTATACCTTAAATTGCAGAAAGTAGAGGTAAGAGAGTGAATCCACAACGGCCCAGTTCATCCAGTAGTCTTCTGGTGTTTTGAAACAGTTGTCTTCCCTTGTAGATCGAAACATTTCATATTGGAGCTCTTTTGGTGCACTGTATATTTCACATGGTAAGAACTGAACACACGATGCAGCAACTGAATGTATGGCATCCTCATTTTGTCTGTGCGACACAGCATCAAACCCTTGCCTTCTTGGTGCCTTTTTGTAAACATAACAAGAACAGACAGGTTCAACAATGTTTTTATCATAGTCTCCCTCAATACCTCTTACAGCAAATTCAGCTTTCGGAAAGTTTTTTGCACAATATAACATGGAGGCGAGTTTAAGTTTAGTACTTGTAGCATCTGTCTTTTGACCAAGATAGATCAATGCCACAGCATCTTTTGATACCACATCTTGCTGATGAATACTGAGGGAACCCAGGGCACATCCTAGAATTGAACTGAACCAACGTGCAAGATGGTTAGTGGCGATCTTATCCAGATCTTGACATTGGCAACTTATAAGTTTCACAAAGTTTCTTTGTAATGTAACAATTGCTTCTTCATTACTTTTGGTAGAAATCTCTATTTTCCACTCATTTATAGCACTGTGATAAGACCAGATTAAGTCACACAAAAGCTTTCCTGAGATAATTTCACTTGTTTTGATTAGAGAAATGTTACTGCACTTTTTACTCATTCTTATACTAATATCATCATAATTTATACCAATCAGTACTACCCCTTTGCTGTTGATTATATATTTGAGAATTTCTAGTAAACATAGTTTTACAAGAGGTGAGCTCTTTCCTCTCATCAAGTTATTTCCAGGTATGATGTAATGCGGACAATCTGCATGAAAAACACAATTATAAAGACCGAGTAAACACAATGACAAACACCTCAGTAAATTATTTTCACGCCAGATTTTAGAAGTTTGTCTTTGTTATGCAATGAAACAAAACCGTTTCACACATGTAACTTGAATATACATCGTTAAATACCAGTAGTCGATTGATTTAAGTTTAATGTCTGTATATATAGAAAACATTGTAACATAGATTTTATGTAACATTGTTTTTCATTTGATACTTATTGTATTTATATTATCTATATTGAGGGTTGTCTGCAAAACTGCAAAAATATTTATAATACAAAGAAGGACTACCAACAGTTAAGCAGTCAACCCTTGATATATACATTGCTGCTGTAAATTAGGTTAGATTAAAAAATTAAAATGGAAACAGAATTTAGAACACATGACATGGATGATTTCTCCAAGTTTTTGTCTGGGCTTGAAATAATGAGCAGAGTAGTACCTTTGAATGTAATGTTCCTTATTTTTTCATTTATAGAAACTTGATGTATTGTCTAATTATGTGTTTTTGTTTGTGTTTTAGGGTGAATATTGTACATAATATATCAAAAATGGTAAGCCAGAAAAACCATTTACAAACTCACAAATTGCTTTAATACTTTTCAATAATTGTTGACCTTTCTTTTTTGGAGAATAATGTTTACGGGCCATTTTTTTTTTACTTTCAGACTTGGCCGACAACGATATTAGTTGTATCACACGACCGTTCCTTCTTAAATTCAGTTTGTACAGAAATTGTGCATTTACATGGTAAAAGACTGGACACTTATAAAGGAAATTATGATCAGTTTGATAAAACTAAAGAAGAAAGAATATATAAAAATCAGAAGAAAGAATACGAGGCACAGAAGCAGTATAGAGATCATATACAGGTACAAGTTTATAGATTAATAGTGATGTTTTATTTTTGTCTTAACCCTTAATCTGCTAAATATCTTAAATGGAATTGTCCATATTTCAATATGGGCAAAATCTTTCATCATTTTTAGGAAGACTTCAAAATATGTAGTGACTGAATACTAGTAAACAATGCATGGATGTGCATTCTGCTCTTTGTCTGCAATGGTTGCTGGAGTAGACTCAGTTGTCGCTGGCAGACTAACAGTGAACTGCTATCTTATGCTGCACTCCTTATTATTACATGCTTTTTGGTGGTTTATATCAGTGATATGAAACTGATAATTTCACTGTTTTAAACAGTGAAATGATCAATTTGATAATTTCACTGTTTTTGAATTTAAGCCCCTTAAGTTGTTTCAGTGAAATACCAGTGTGCTCAGTACTGGAAAGCAACTTAATGACATGACATTGTAAATGACGTAACATTGTTTAATTATTTGGCGGGCTTTTCATTTAGTATTAGGTTAAATGTCTTTTTAAAATGTTTCTTTGCATATAATAAAAAGAAAAATTGTTTAGTTTAGTGTAAGATCGAAATATATTTCACGAGCGAGCACCAAAAGGTATATTTCACTAAAGGTATATTTCATGAGTGGTGCAGCCATAAGTGAAATATGAACTTTTGGTGTTCACAAGGTATAAAGTGTATATTTTCATTGGCCAGTTAAGAAGTTTTTGTACAAACATGGCTGCTGCAGATTTATAAATAAAGTTTTTATTTTATTGTAAGTAACCATTTGTACAATTTACAGTATCATAAACCTTTTATAAAGGTCATATGTCCTTAACAAAGCAGCCTTTCAAGAAGTGTTTTATTTAGCTATTTTGGCCTATGTATATAAGCTAACATATTTGCAATGAAAAATTGTATGACATGTACATGTTTTTTTATAATAATACAAACAACAAAGAATATGAAACACATGAAACAAAGTGGATAATTTGATAAAGACTTAAGTTTAGGCTATTCATTAATCTCATCAGGGAATGTTTTATGATAATGTAAAATTACAATAATAATTTATATTTTCAGGTGTTTATAGACAGATTTAGATATAATGCAAATAGGGCTTCTCAAGTACAGAGTAAATTAAAACTTTTAGAAAAATTGTGAGTATTTTTTACAAATATTACATTTATTTGTGACTATAAATTTTTAATGTACATGTAACAATTTTAGCAATATTATATAGGTCAGTGTTCATTTTTTTCCTTCAACATTTTAGGAATTACCCGGCTCACTTAATTCCCGGCTCAATTAATTTGGTTTTTATGAAGTCATTTAATAAGAGATTTTGTGGAGAAAAAATAAAACAAAGCAACAAAATTACAAATGTTCTATAGTCATTGGGAATTTCTTGATACCACTTTGGGTATAAATGGGCATTTGTACTATTGGGAATCTTTTGAAAAAAAGGAAAACTGCTGTAAGTAAATAGTAAGTTTACGAGTGTGAACAGGTCTTAACTGTTGGACTGTATTACATTGTATCTTAGTAGTGAGTTGTTTTTTCGGAAATGACATGCTGTTTAAAATCTTATTAAGTCAAATTGTCGTCTACGATATTGCTGCGGTTTGAGGTCGCACCTGCATAACAGGTAGCAACTCTTACATGTGTGTGATTCCGGACTTTGTAAGGGTTATACTAAGTCAATTACTGATAATTTTATGTGTACATTATGAAAAATAAAATTACTTAATTTTCTTCTACATGACTAAACATTAAAATTGGCACATAAATTGTTGACCTTTAATTACCTTTATTTTTTCATGGTTTGAACGCCCTCCCCTTTCCTAGTTTGGTAGACTAAGTACTTTTATTTTGATGTCCAGGCAAGCCCCAAAAACAAGAGCTACTTTTTTATTCAAAAACTTTTTATTTTGAATTTAAAAAGAAAACACCTTTTTTGGTGCACCCCCTTTTTTGGTGAAAACAGAACTTTTTTATTCTATAAAATTACTAAAATTATGCTATGTTTATGGTGAAAAGTTTTTATTGGGAAATTTTGTAATTGAGCCAATATTTGAAGTGCAATTAGGGTCATTGTTTTAAATGAAATTATATCATAAAGATGTAGGCAGTAGGAGGGTGTAATTTTTATTTTTAAATCTTTTTCAGACCTCCATTAGAACCTCCAGGTAAAGAAAGTGAGGTCACTATAAGGTAAATATAGCATATGATATTGTCACTATATTAGAACAAATTCTCTAAAAGATCAAAAATAAAAAAAAAAATCCTGTAAAAATTTGAATACCATATTGAATCTTTGTTTAAAATACATTGTTTAAAAGATATAATTTAAGTCTTTTGATAAATTCTTTGAAGTTGCATACAAAACTTTAAGCACAATGTATTTATAGAATGCTTTAGGGATAGCATTTGCATAAAATATTTTTTGTAGATTTGGCGTGATGTCATTCAATGCTGCTTTCGAGCAAAGTTCTTATTTATGTAATGACATTTTTTATATGTATGCATATTTGTCAGATTGTCAGGAAACCAATTGTACACCACACACTGTTCACTTAAAACCATATTTGTCAGATTGTAAGGAAACTAATTGTACACCACACGCTGTTCACTTCAAACCATATTTGTCAGATTGTCAGGAAACCAATTGTACACCACACGCTGTTCACTTAAAACCATATTTGTCAGATTGTCAGGAAACCAATTGTACACCACACGCTGTTCACTTAAAACCATATTTGTCAGATTGTCAGGAAACCAATTGTACACCGCACGCTGTTCACTTAAAACCATATTTGTCAGATTGTCAGGAAACCAATTGTACACCGCACACTGTTCACTTCAAACCATATTTGTCAGATTGTCAGGAAACCAATTGTACACCGCACGCTGTTCACTTCAAACCATATTTGTCAGATTGTCAGGAAACCAATTGTACACCACACGCTGTTCACTTAAAACCATATTTGTCAGATTGTCAGGAAACCAATTGTACAACACACACTGTTCACTTAAAACCATATTTGTCAGATTGTCAGGAAACCAATTGTACACCACACACTGTTCACTTAAAACCATATTTGTCAGATTGTCAGGAAACCAATTGTACACCGCACACTGTTCACTTAAAACCATATTTTTCAGATTGTCAGGAAACCAATTGTACACCGCACACTGTTCACTTCAAACCATATTTGTCAGATTGTCAGGAAACCAATTGTACACCACACACTGTTCACTTCAAACCATATTTGTCAGATTGTCAGGAAACTAATTGTACACCACACACTGTTCACTTAAAACCATATTTGTCAGATTGTCATGAAACTAATTGTACACCACACACTGTTCACTTCAAACCATATTTGTCAGATTGTCAGGAAACCAATTGTACACCAGACACTGTTCACTAAAAACCATATTTGTCAGATTGTCAGGAAACCAATTGTACAACACACACTGTTCACTTAAAACCATATTTGTCAGATTGTCAGGAAACCAATTATACACCACACACTGTTCACTTAAAACCATATTTGTCAGATTGTCAGGAAACCAATTGTTCACTTAAAACCATATTTGTCAGATTGTCAGGAAACCAATTGTACACTTAAAACCATATTTGTCAGGTTGTCAGGAAACCAATTATACACCACACACTGTTCACTTAAAACCAATCTCGGCCATTGAGTCTAATTATCATTTATCTCTTGCTGTAAATACAGAAACCTTTTGGTATAACTAGTTGTTCACTTGCGGAGAAATTGATAATTACTGGTTAGTTATCCAGACAATCTCCGAGTTATGTCTAAAAAATGTGTTAAATTGGATGTTAAAGTCAAACAAACAATATCCTCGTCATCTTATATTCATATATATTTTTATTTTTTCAAGGTTTCCTGAATGTGAAAAATTGTCTTCAAATATATTACAATTGGACGAGTTGCAATTTTACTATAGTAAAGATAGGATAATCTTTGATAATGTTGATTGTAATGCCAATATGTCTTCAAGAATTTGTATAGTAAGTATATTTTAATTTTGTTGCTAGGATACTGGTATATTTAATTATCTGTTGCTTGGATTATATTAAAGTACTGGTTGCTTGGATACTGGTAAAAATATCTTTAATTAATGGTTGCTAGGTTACTGGTAAAAGTATATTTAATTACTGGTTGCTAGGATACTGGTAAAAGTATATTAATGGTTAATTATCGGTTGCTTGGTTACCCATAAAAGTATATTTAATTATTGGTTGCTAGGTTACTGGTAAAATATATATTTAAATACTGGTTACTAGGATACTGGTAAAAGTATATTTGATTATAGTTGCTTGATGTAAAATTAACTTGATCTCTTTCACCAGTTATTAATACAGCTAGGCCAGTATGCACATTTTCATCAAGAGTGTGAACCAAAAGTTCTGTAATTAAATTATCAGGCTTGATACAGAAGGTCAGTGGTTCTACTAAGTTGCAGACTTGTGCCTGAATTAATGCACAAAGAGGCACCTGAAATCTTCTTCCTCTAGTAAAGATGAATATTCACCATATGACTTTAACAAAGTCAGTATGACTTAAAACCCCAATAGATTTATGTATAAGATGAAAGACATGTGTATAACAGACAAGATATATTAACTTGTATCTGCTAAAGTTTACTGTTTTATTTTAGGTTGGTGAAAATGGTGCGGGTAAAACAACATTACTGAAAATATTATTAGGAGAATTATCTCCGACTAAAGGTATACGACACGTACACAGAAGTTTACGTATTGGTTACTTTAGTCAGCATCACGTAGATCAGCTCGAAATGGACCTGAATTCTATAGAACTTTTGCAACAAAGATTTCCTGGTGAGTTTAGATAGTAAAAAAAATAAGTAGTCAACTGCAAATTTTGCAAATATTTAATTTTCTTCTTTTGCTTGTTCATTCATTATGCAGGATCATAAACTGATGTTAAAGATTAATTTCTCGATATATTTACCTCCCCTTATAATCATAAGTCCTGTAACCCTTACATTGCTCTAATCAAAAGTATACACCATTGCCATCCTGCATATCGACAAGAATTTTGGGAAGTTTTTATTTAAAGCCAGATTATTGGAAGGAAAGGGAGAGATACTGTACTCACCTTGAAGTTGGCTTCACATTTTTGTTAAGTTTTTGCGCGTAAGTGGGTATTTCTTAAGAGTGAAAGACAAATGCCCACCTAAGCAAAAGTCTACCATCCTAAAATGACACGACAAACAAAAGCTGTTTCATGATGACTTACAGATTTTTTAAAAAAAAATGTATGGAGAGTTGAATAAATGTATAAATATTGTCAATCCACTAAATGCTTTACAAGTTAAATGATAAATATGACTGTTGAATAATCAGCGACTGCATAATTATACTGTTTTTATACTGTATATTTTTGTATTACAACCGTATTTCTATCATAGTTAGGGCTATATCTTTAGAACACAGGGCTATATTTTGAGAACACAGGGCTATATTTCATATCTTGACATATTTCAGGTCATTGCTGTTGTTTAAAGTTCTTTATTTTAGATATAAATGTTTTATTGACATATTTTTCCTAAGCTTAAACTAATTGATAATTTTAGTTGAATTGAACATAAATCTGAGGACAAGTTTCTTGAAATTTAATTCAGCATTTGTTTATTTTACAGGTCAGACTATCGAGCAATATAGAGGGGTGTTAGGGCAGTACGGTGTCAGCGGAGAGCTCGCTACACGACCTGTTACTAGTCTTTCTGGAGGTCAGAAGAGCCGAGTGGCTTTTGCAGTCATGAGTATGACCAAGTAAGTTGGTGTACAGTACAACCTCGATAGAGTAACATCTATCATGACACTAAAAAGTTTTTATTGTTGCTGAGATTGTGAGGTGTTGCTTTAAAGAGGTTAAATGTATAGTAAAGTTTTACTTTTAAAAAGGAATGATATTTTTGTTGTGAAGACGTTATTGCTGTAAAGAGGGTTGATGCTCTGTAGAGTTTTTTACTGTATCATTAAAGCTAATGCTATGATAAGTACAGTCTGATCTGGTGTTCAGACCGCATGTGTCTCTGTCAGTCTTTCCTTAGTACACATTTTGTATACTTAAAAATTAAACAACCTGTAGCAGTCAAACCTGTTCCACTGATTACCTCAGAGTAGTCAAACTTAAGACTGCTTTTAGTGATTAAGACGAGTTGACTAAATAATATGAATTTTGTCAGGTTTATTATAGCTTGTTGGGGCATCCGTGGCCGAGTGGTTAAGGTTGTTGACTTCAAACCACTTGCCCCTTTCCGCTCTTGGTTCAAATCCCACCATGGACTTTGGATTCTTTCATGTAAGGAAGGTATCCAGCTACTTACGGAATGTCAGGTGCCCATAATAAACGCTAGTTTGGACAACTTTTGTGAAATTGCAACTTAAGTTGCCAGCCCCAGCATAATGCTTGTTTTTGTGCTAATGGATAAACAAAAAGAAAATGAAATAATATTTGTTTGTTTCAGTCCAAATTTCTTCATCCTTGATGAACCTACCAATCACTTAGACATGGAGACGATAGAAGCACTCGGTTTTGCTCTCAAGAAATTTGCTGTAAGTATATGTCCTTGATACTAATAACATGCTGAATTTGTGCAGTGAATTAGCATGGATTAAAATCTGGAACATGTGGTTCAAAGTTTACGGGATTTTTATATAAAAATAGACAAAAAAAATCAGGTAAAAATAGTAAGAGCTTCTGGGGTCCGTCTGAACAGATAAATAGGCTGTTCTAGCTTTATTCTTGTGGCCAAGGCTGATCACAAATGTTTGAAATATTAAAATTTATTTGTTGTGCCTCCTCCTTTGTGTTTTAGTAGCTCAAAAAGTATTTGACCAAGAGTCATGAAACTTTACAGGAATGTTGATCAGCATGTGTAGTCATGCACCTGGGTATTTTCATGTGGATTTATTTAGTTTTTTTAGAATTATTGCCCTTGACTTAACAAAAATTTGCAGGTTTCAAATTGTGTTGCACATAACTGAAAAATATTTGACCTAGAGTCATGAAACCTTACCTTACAGGATTGTTGCTCAGCATGTGAAGTTGTGCACCTGTATATTTTCGTGTGGATTTATTTAGTTTTTTGTTAGATTTATTGCCCTTGTCTTAGTATTAATTTGCAATTTTCAACTTGTTCATGCATAGCTCAAAAAGTATTTAAACTGGAGTCATGAAACTTAACAGGAATGTTGGTCATCATGTGTAGCTGTGCACCTTGGTTATTGTGGATTTATCCAAAATTTGTAGAGTTATTGCCCTTGACTTTGTAAAAACTGTTTATTATGTTGTGTTATTTGATCATTGAATGCTTGCGTTAGAACCAACCAACTTTACAGGAATAATGATCAACATCACTGTGAAGCTATGCACCTGGACTTTGCATGTGGATTTTTTTCAGTTTTGTTAGAGTTATTGCCCTTCACTTACAGTAGTATAAATTTGCAATTTTCAACTTGTTCATGCATAGCTCAAAAAGTATTTGACCTGTAGGCCTGAAAGATTACAAGAATGTTGGTCAACATGTGTACTTGTCCGCTTGTGGATTTATTCAGTATGTGTAAAGGTCTTGCCCTTTACTTAGTAAAAGATTTTTAGTTTTCAACTTGTGGCACATGTAGCCAAAAAATATTTGACCTAGAGTTATAAATTGACAAGTGTGGGAGCACCCATGTCCTATGGACACATTTTAAGTTTCATATTTTTCAAACAGTTTAGTAGTTGTTTTTTTTAGCTCACCTGTCACAAAGTGACATGGTGAGCTTTTGTGATCGCTTTTCGTCTGGCGTCTGTACATCCGGCGTGCGTTCGTCCGTAAACTTTTACTTTAAACGACATCTCCTCATAAACCACTAGGCCAATTTCATCCAAACTTCACAGGAATGTCCTTTGGTAGTCAACTTTAAAAATTGTTCAAAGAATTTAATTCCAAGCAGAACTCTGGTTGCCATGGCAACTGAAAGAAAAAACTTAAAATATCTTCTTTTAGAAAACCGCAAGAGCTAGAGCTAAAATATTTGGCATGAAACATCACCTAGTCAGTGTCTACCAAGTTTGTTCAAATAAATGCCCTGGGGTCAAAATTGGCCCCGCCCCGGGGGGTCATTGATTTTCCTTATTTGTATATAGTAAAAACTTAAAAAATCTTCTTTTAAAAACCCCAAATAGCTAGAGCTTAAATATTAAGCATGAAACATCTTCTAGTGGATGTCTACCAAGTTTGTTCAAATTAATGCCCTTGGGTCAAAATTGGCCCCGCCCCGGGGGTCATTGATTTTCCTTATTTGTATATAGTAAAAACTTTAAAAATCTTCTTTTAAAAACCCCAAATAGCTAGAGCTTAAATATTAAGCATGAAACATCTTCTAGTGGATGTCTACCAAGTTTGTTCAAATAAATGCCCTGGGGTCAAAATTGGCCCTGCCCCGGGGGGTCATTGATTTTCCTTATTTGTATATAGTAAAAACTTAAAATATCTTCTTTTAGAAAACCGCAAGAGCTAGAGCTTAAATATTTGGCATGAAACATCAACTAGTCAGTGTCTACCAAGTTTGTTCAAATAAATGCCCTGGGGTCAAAATTGGCCCCGCCCCGGGGGGTCATTGATTTTCCTTATTTGTATATAGTAAAAACTTTAAAAAATTTCTTTTAAAAACCCCAAATAGCTAGAGCTTAAATATTATGCATGAAACATCTTATAGTGGGTAGTTTGTTCAAATAAATGCCCTGGGGTCAAAATTGGCCCTGCCCTGGGGGGTCATTGATTCCGTATTTGTATAGAGTAAAAACTTAAAATATCTTCTTTTAGAAAACCACAAGAGCTAGAGCTTAAATCTTTGGCATGAAACATCAACTAGTGAGTTTCTACCAAGTTTGTTCAAATAAATGCCCTGGGGTCAAAATTGGCCTCGGCCCGTGGGGTCATTGATTTTCCTTATTTGTATATAGTAAAAACTTAAAATATTTTCTTTTAGAAAACTGCAAGAGCTGGAGCTTAAATATTTGGCATGAAATATTTTCTAGTGGGTGTCTACCAAGTTTGTTCAAATCAATGCCCTGGGGTCAAAATTGGCCCAGCCCTGGGAGGTCATTGATTTTCCTTATTTGTATATAGTAAAATCTTCTTTTAAAAATCCCAAATAGCATCTTCTAGTGAATTTCTACCAAGTTTGTTCAAATAAAAGCCCTGGGGTAAAAATTGGCCCCGCCCCAGGGGGTCATTGATCCTCATTATTTTGTAGAGTGTCAAAAATTGTATATAGTAAAATCTTGAAAAATCTTCTTTTAAAAAAACCAAAAGAGCTAGAGTTTAGATACTAAGCATGAAATATTTCCCCAAAGAGTTAAAGCTAAGATATTTATCATGAAACATCTTCTAATGACTGTCTACCAAGTTTGTTCAAATAAAAGTCCCTGGTTTAAAATTGGCATTGGCCCAGGGGCCTATATACAGGTGAGCGATTTCAGGGCCATCATGGCCCTCTTGTTTTGTAATATAACAAATGACAATTAAACCAGATGCATTCAAAAATGGGAATTCCAAAAGAAAATAACACATATAATAAATAAAACATGTAATACTCTTTGCATACATTTTGAGAGAGGCATATATTTAAAAACATGTTTATTTTTCTTTTGTGAATCATTTGTTTTACTGATTAGATGTCATACACTTCAATGTTGCCATCTCTAATTCTACTTATACACATCTTAGTCATTTGTTGATTACAACAGACTGATTGAATCCACTTTTTTCCACTATCAGCTTTTATAACTTCTCCTATCAGCTCACCATCACATGTAAACTGTAAAACATTATTGGAGTCATCTCCAGATACCAGCAAACTGCCTGCTTCAGTGAGATAACAACAGTTAGCCCACTTCAATTGTTTATCATTGAATGATGTAATAACCTGACCATTGTTGTCCAGTACTATCAGTCCCTTACAATTGTCAGCAACATAAATCCTAGTAGCATCCTGTCTGACAGCTAGACTGTATATTGAAGAGAACAATTTATGTCCTGATTGATCCTTACTGAACTGATTAAGTTTCCTACCTGACAATGTATACATATATACTGATGTGTCATTATCTGCAATATATAAATTATTGTTTGCATATGCAAGACCATAACATTCAAAATCAGTGTGAATCTTGTTTGTTGTTTTCATTTTTCTTTCTAGAGAAATGAAATGAACTTCTTTTTTTGATGGAATAGTTACTGCTACTTGTGTGTTATTGATCATACACACTTGCCATGGTCTTCCAGATAGATCACAGTAGTCTGTGACAGTATAGTTGTAACTGTGTATACATTTAAGCTTGTTGTTGCTGCGGTCAGTTAGAATTATTGTACCATCTTTCATACAGCAGGCACTCCTGATATAACAAACATTTTCATCCGACTTGACTTTTACATTATATGATCGATTTCCTTTTATCTGAAATAAATTGTCAGCAGTCTTTGTAGGTTTCTCTGATAGTGTGACTATGGTCTTCTTTTGCTCTAACTGTGTAAGAATTGTTCTATCAGGTTGAAACTCTATGTCTTCTACTGTACTTTTTATTTTGGCATGCTCAATATATTTGTTGGCAACATTTACAGCATCTTCTCCCATCTTAACATAAACAAACACTTCAGAATGATTTGTATTTGTAGATGCTAATTTACTATTAGCTGATCTAATCCTGGACTTGTTTGCTTGTAGCTGTTTTAAACTCTCTTCGATTTTGTCTTCAAGACATTTGACTTTACTTTCTATCTCATCAATAGAACTTTTCTCCAGCTTATCAAGTTGGCCATTGATTTCTTGGCGGAATTTTCTGATATCAGCAAGTATTTCTGCTCTCCTCTTTAACAGCCTTTGTTTATCCTGTTTAAATCTATCAGCTTGTTTTTCAAGGGTCTTGGCTATTTCCTTAAGTTTTGCTTGAATATCTCTCGGTTCAACTTGGTAAGTATTGTTTTGGATGAATTCTGGTATGTAGAATGTGTCCTTACATAACCTGAAAAATAAGTTTAAACAGTTTATGAGGCTATGAGATGACGGAGGGGATGATATATTATTTAGTGTTATACACATGTATATTTAAGATAGTCTAAGAATTTTTTTGTTAAGTACATATATACTAAACATTCCATATATACTTACTTATAAAATATATTTGTTTAAATACTATAGTTTACCTGTGATCAACTGCCATACATGTAGAACAGCCAACATTATCATGGTTCTGACAGTACATATCAATGTGTTTATGACTGTGTCTGTCACATCTCTCTGCTGGTGCCCTTGGCAGACCTTTATTGGTTCCTGACTTAACTTGAGATTTATCCAATACCTTGTGACCAGCTAATACAGGCACTTTACTGTGTACTTTGACACAACTAACACAGAAATAATCGAGACAATCTACACAGTATTTTTCACCTTCAGTGTTCCTGCCTTCATTTCTACACATTGAACATAATACATCAAATATTTCATCCGAAAGAATATCCGTATCAATTTGTCCACCTGTAGCCATTTTGTCTTTCTTCCTGACTACG